TGATGAATAACAACTTTGTTATTTGCATTCCGAGCTACGTTGTTCTCCCTTTCCACTAAACTAAATAGCTATCTTATCTGTATTACAATCTAATGATTGAAATAAATTGAGAGTTAGATATAATAGATAGTTTTCAAATTTAAAATAAAGATGTTTTTTCAAATTTGAGAAAAAGCATATGCAGTAAATTAGAGATAGAGAGTTGTGTTTATAAATTCATGAGATTAGATGTTACAAAAATTAGTGGAGGAATTAATTGCCTTCCCAGTAGAATCCCTTTTCTAGTACTACATCCTTGACGATGCGGTTTTGGATTATGGAACAACAAAATATATATTCAAGAATCCATTATCCATTACCCTAATGTCATATTTATATCATGCAACATGAGGTTTTTGATTTGGAATAATGATAGCTACATCCAAAGAATATACTAGTTGGTTAACAATCGATGGACATAGATGTGCAATGAGAGATCACATAGATGTGCAACATTTAGATATAGATTGAGAGATAGAACAATAACAACATAACAGCATATTCAAATATAAAAAAGGAATTGAAATAAATTTGGACTCCTCACTATTTTGTGAAAATTTATTTCATTTACACAAAGCAACCATAAGGGAATATGAAACATTGAAGCAAACGGTTAATTATAACTCAATAAGCAAAGTCAGAAAATTTGAGTACTTATTATAAGAAATTTGAAAACTGGTCATGAAACTTTTTATAGAATATGTGTTGAAATTTGCTTTAACATTTATATTTTAAAAGCTATTTGAAAAAGAACATAATGAGTCAGGAAAGGACCTACACGAATTGCAAATTCATGATTAAAATACAAAAAATGTAAAACCACTTTTTGTTTTTTTAATGTGCTAATAAGAAAAAAAAAATGAAAATATGGCTAAAGGGAAATAACCATAATTTTTAAAATATTTTTGAATTCATGAAAAAGAATAATGCCTAAATTTTAAATTGTAATTTTTTAAAAAAAATAAATAAAGTTTGTTCTCACTTTTGTAGTGAAGAGATCACAATTATTTTCAAATCTTGAAAATTTTATAGCAAACTTTTTCAAACCAACAAGTGCGCACTCAAAGAAAAGTTTCAATAGCATCCCCTCATTTGGGCAATCTTGTAACCTAGGGATACTCTACCAATCTATCTTTTTTGTTAAACTTGAAATTTGTTTATGATTTTACAGCAATTTGCGTAGGCTTTGAATTTTCATTTTGAGCCTTATACTTGTTCTTTAATGATCTTGGTCATAGATTTCGAAGGGCTTTTCATGTTATATTCTTCCACAAGAAGTAGATATCTGTCAAACGATGTACAATGTGATAAGATAAATACTGTTATATTACACATTACATCGGCCATTGATCACTGGACATCACATGTCCAAGGGTAAGGGTTATACTAGTGACGAGAATCAAAAAGCACACATTGAATTTCATAAGGTGAAAGAGGAGAAAATATTTTTATATAAAAATCATGCACTGTATATTCAAGTGAAGAGAATCGTCATAAAAATCCTGCACGGTATATAATACTTTTTCTTTGAATGTTAGGTTGTTGATTTGAAGTTCATTTCTTGAACTTCTATTTCTAAACAAATAACACATCAAATCTCGAAAATTTTATAACAAAATTGGCGAGTCCTTGTCCCTCAACTCTTTTTTATGGGATATCAGTGAGGTTGAGATTTGTGTAAGGTTCCACATCGAACAATTAAAGTAAAATGCACTTTCAAACTGTCATGAGATGTGATTTTGGTGTCAAAAATTCTTAGGATGGTATACAAATCTATTTCTATTTCGAATTATAAAATTTTAAATTTCAAAAATAGTTCAAATCAAGAGGATTTATAAAAAACATGATAATCTTAAAAATTGACAGTTCAGATAATGTGTTGCAAGATGTATTATTTTTCAGACCTGAAATCTCCTTTTTTTCTCCATATCTATACTTCTTGATATCGAGATGATCAATAGATATTTTTTCAACATCAAAACAACCTTTTTTATTGTACATCCATCTTGCAAAATACCATTATTACCTTCCTCATTAGCTATGCTTGTAGTGCCCCAAATAATCAATTTAAAGCTCCTCATCTTCTAGGGATATCTTCATACGACATATGATTGTCTTGAGTACTAATCCATAAAAGATAATGTTTAAGCATTTCATGATGGGGAATCAAGTTACTTGTATGATACCAAATCTTGTAATTTCTATATTGAAAACATTTATTTATAGCAGGAGATATGTATGAGTAAAAGAAAATCATCCATAATTTTATTTCTATATTAAAAACATTTATGTATAGCAGGAGATATGTATGAGTAAAAGAAAATCATCCATAATTATATTTAAAAGTAACTAATGAGGATCTATAAATACAGATATGAAAAAAAGCAACACATTATTTATTATTACAAATTTGTATTGTACCAAAAAAAATTATTTCGATTTATGAGGTATAGAAATAACTTAAAACTATAATGATTTATAAAAGCTGTTTTCAAACATGAATTTATTTGAAGTTTTCCCATTTAACTATGTGAAGGCAATGCGTCGCATGGGTTTGTACAGGTAATAAACTAAACATTATGTTTCCTAATACAGTTACAACTAGGCATTCTCTTGTTTATTTGGATGATGTTTATTAAGCCTGATTAGTTGTATTTATTTACTTGACTCAATGTAACACTACTCACTCCTAGACTTTGATTGGACTCAAGTCGATTGGACTCGGCTTTTAAGTTTAGACTCTAGATGCAAGTTTTTTTTTGTTGCGAAAAGACTCAGATGATGATGATAATGCACGTTTTTTTCTTGCCAGCTTTTTTACACGCAAAACGTGTTTTGCTAGTGGGCCATGGGATGGCATTTGGACTTCATTTAAGGTGGTTTCCAAACATTCTTTAACTGCACACAGGTGTAAATACAACAAAGATAAAAATGAGACCATTTACTTTGAGTACAAGGACGTCACAATCGCTCTTGTTTGTTGGATATTAAACCGATAGTTGCACATGTATCATTGATTAAACTTAAAATTAAATTTCTTTTATTATTAAACTTTGTAACACAACTCAAGTCATCCAATTTGGAATTTAAGTGCTAGTAGTTATTGTGGCCACCTTATAACAATGGTAAATAGATCATAGTACAAATCTCGTTTCAGTATACGTACCTGAAAATTCAATTGCCTAAACAATGCATTTAAATGTCAAAACTTATATAATGGAAAAGGTGAAACTTATAATAGGCCAAAAAAAAATAAAAATAAAAATAATCATACTTTCACACATGGTTACATTAGAGCACGTATATTATGCTCCTACAAGAGCATACTATACATTTAGTCCCTCTCTCAGATGATCTACTTGGAAAACATTTTTCAACCCAAAAATTTGCGATCCGCTTAAAAATAACTTATAATCATTTTCAAAAGAGAAATTTGAAGTTTAAGTTTTCTAACACTTAGATGTCATTGTGAGAAAATTGGATGGTCTCTGTTCAACCATTGGACATTATTCTTTTCAAACCGATGGAGAGTGCTATTTGGAATTATTAGTTTTAGTTTTTTTATTGAGGTTAGTTTATGACTCGAAAAGAAAAAGATTACATATCCAAAATTGGGTTCCTACAATTAGTCATGTGGAAATCATAGAAACTTGCACTTATTTTTTGGTACAATATTTTCCTTTCTTAAGCCCCACAGTCCTCAAAGGCCTTGAGTATACACGTAGAAGGGCCAAAACCCATCTAACCTACTGCAATTCGCCCCTTGTTTCCCTTGCGGCGATCTTCTCTTGCAGCAACTCTCTCTCTATTTTTGGATTATTGTATCAAAAAATAAATGCAGGTTTTTATAATTTCCATAAATCCTAGACTAAATTTTACATGAGGGACTATATGGACAGTATGCTCCCAAGGGTGCATGAAATCTTCTAACTTTACAATTATTTCATACACATTCCATAAAAAGAACTGATGTAGTTAAGATGAAAATATGACCATAAAAGGATGGAAGAGCTAAAATGGCAAGTGACAGCTCCCCCATTGTATTAATAGAGAACGCACATTCATATTGCTCTAGCAGAGAACCTGGTCATCCTTACCCATTTAGGTTTAGGTTTGCTGTATCAATGCTGGAGCCACTATTTTAAGTCCCAGTGAGCTCACCCTGTGATACTGTACTCGCATTGAATACAGTCCCTTAGTGATCTAATTTGAGTGGAGAAGATTTAAAACTTCTGATTTAGTCTTTTGTGATTCTAATATTTCTGGGGTGTAGTTTGTATAAGATTGCACCCTTAAACAATCAAAGCAATGCACACTTCTAAACTTTGTCCGAGATGTAATTTTAGTGCCAAAAATTATTAGGATGGCCTCAAAATCTACTTTCATCTCTAATTATAAAATTTTGCAACTCTAAAATTGTTCACATCGAGCAAAACTATTAAAAGTTAAAAGTATTAGAAATGAACGGTCTTGTGTTACAAGATATATTATTTTTGGAACTTGAATTTTTTTAATTTTTTTATCTATATCAATACATCTCGAGGTCGAGATAATCAATTTGAGGGTTTCTGATGTCGAAACACTTTTTTTTTTTCTTGAAATGCGTCTTGGTTTTACTTCTTATAAACATTTTCTTTTTTTCTCCTAATATTATATAATACATAAATTTATTAATATCGAATAGCTAAACAACACACAATCTCCCTCTCAACTCACTCTCTGGTTTCTCTGTTCGCTCAATCTCTATGTTTTGAGTATTTCAATAGTAGGATCAGGACTCTCTCTCACACCCTCTTATCTTGTGGGTCATCAAAAGGTTGGAGTGTGCACGTATCCTAATTTTTTTCTATCTTCTTTTATTCTCAGTCGATATCTCATCCTCTTGTGCATTCATCTCAATTTCTTTTTTCCCTCAATATCTCATTAAAGGATGAGTGACTACTTGTTAGACAATGCCTTCCCCATTGAGTTGATGACAATGATTTTCGTGGCTTTGCCCATCAAATCCTTAGGCAGGGCAAGATGCGTCTGCAAACCATGGAACAAATTTTTGTCTTCTAATTCTTTCATGTCGATGCATGCCCAAACTATTTTGCAGCCTATGGCCATGATGGCCTTGGAGACTGCTAATGGAGATTTTGAAGTCCATCATCTATGGTCACCATCAAGTACTTCGATGATGGACGGTGGAGATGCTTTCATAGTTCAGTCAATGGGAAGCAACACATCACTACGTCGATGGTTATGGTGGCCACACTGTGGTGCCGCCCTAGCTTCAAGTGGAGGACTCATTTGTTATTTGGTGAAAGAAGTCTCAGAAGCTTTTCTTCGTGTGGGAAACTTGGCTATTGGAGTATATAGAACCGTGCCAGCATTAAGGTCAGGTCTCTCTCTCAATTTGGTAGAAATGTAGTTTGTTTGTTAGTATCTTTTTTTTACTCTTATTTGAAGTATACAGAGAGATTATTTACTTCTTGTTCAAGGAGTTTACAACTACTCTGATTCAGTGATTTAAAAAATGCTTGTGGCCACGGTATCGCTTGGTTCGACTTGGAAACCAGTCACTCTGTTCCGGTCCTGTATGTATATAAGAAAGTGGCTGAGTCTAGAAGGGAACCGGTGGTTCCCTGCAGTAACACGACTCTCTATAACAACAAGGTGATTTGGACTGCTGATTCACGGATCCGGATCAGTTTTTGGGGGGTTTACTATTTTTTCATGTGTTTTTTTGCCGGTTCACTGTCATTTCGGTACTGTAAAACAACGATCCGAACTGCTGATTCACGAACTGGGTTTTGGGGTGCCCGATCCGGGTCACCAATTAGCTTTTTAAATCACTGCTCTTATGTTTTATATTTCAAACCAAGTGTTTGTAAGAGTGTCATTGATACAACTCAAATTTCAAAAAAAATAAAAAATAAAAAAAATCTTGAACTTCAAAATACACCTCATGCCATTCAATTTGACATCTAATGGCTATGAGTAATTTTGACCTTCTTGTAACAAAAATGAATGATCTCGTAATCTACTATATTTATTTAAAAGAGTTTTAGTGAGCATACTTATTCAAATGGAGTCTCCTTTAAACATATGAGAGATGGATTTTAGACCTAAAACTTTTTAAATCGAATAATATCGCCTATCACAATGATGAATCTTAAAATAAAATAGATTTTGAACATTGGAAATAGATTATTTTGGACCATTCATCATTACTCATCATAATTGTTAAAAAATCAACAGATTTGTACCAAGCTACAAAATCACGGATTTAAAGTAAAGTGGATCTAGAGTGACTTCGGATGTATTTCAGATCCTAAATTTATCTCTAAAACAGATTTTCAGAGGGAATCACATTTGAATATGACCATGTTTAAAGTTTTCCCACATTTATTTATCTATCTATATTTATGTATCCAATGCATAAAAAATACCCAACAGTTCTAATCTAAGTTCTTGCTTTGTAGAGGTCTTTATGGCCAGGGATGGTTTGGCTATTGTGATGTCGGAGATTAGGGGTGGCAACGAGTCAGGTAAGCGTTGGGCTCGGTTGGACACGAACCCGACTTGTTGGGTCCCACATCTATCACATCAGGTCTCGGGTTTGGTCGCCTTCATTGCCACCCTCACTATAAGGTTTTTTTTTTTTTTGGACTGCTTTTTTACCATCATATACCTATATTATAGGCAACAAGGTCACAATCACCTACAATTAGATTTCAAGCCATTTGTTGTTTAAAAGTTAAAGATGACGACTAGTTCTTATTATATACGACTCTTAATACACTTAAACAAACAGGGCTTGAAGTATTTTATCTCCAATAGTTTACGGGTATGGTAGTTAGGCCCGGATCCTAATAGTGTTCAGGTCCAGGTTTTGGACCTGGATCCCATCGGTACAACTATTGGACCCATACCCAGATTTGCGTCAGATATACCCAGCAGGTCCCGGATCGGGTCCGGGTCCATTGCCACCTTTTACATCTTTTTTCCAAGTGCATGACTCCACAAAGTTAGGTTCGTGCATCTTGGCTTGGCTATCATGTATGCATGAGAGAGGGCCTTCAATTTGCATTAAATAATTACAAGTTAAAATAGAAAGTCTTTGATGAGGAGGACATCATAAACCAAAGAAAGAGAAATATGTCCAAGTGGAAGTAATAAGTAATATTTTTTAATTTAATTAGTAATATAAAAGTAAGCATAAGCTATATCTTTGAATATTTGGAAAGCATTTCATGATAAATATTTTCATTATTCAGCTTTATTTTATAAATATTTTCATTATTCAGCTTTATTTCATTATTCAGCTTTATTTTATTCAGCTTTATTCTATATCTCATGGATTTCACTTATCTAGTATTCGAAAGGTACAGGTAGCTGCCCAAGCTTTTTGTTATCAAATATATATATATATATACATATATATATACCCACTGGGTCCAAGACTACTCTACAAAAACCTAGACCCTATTGGGGTGCAAGGATCTGGATCTGGACATGACCTGTGAATCCAAGTTTGATTAAGTCAACCCAACCCTTGTCTGACCCGATTGTCATCCACCATGGTATGAAAGCTCAGAGGTTTGTTTTTTCATGTAATTTTTTAGTTGCATTGATTTATTTTTATGATGAAATTGTTAGAGATAATTGATGTTAAATAGTCAAATTTAAACCATAAATTTAGTTGTGTTTTTGCGGCAATTAAGTCAAATTTGACTCTTTTTTTTTTTTTAAGTTGTATAATGTTTTCACTATAATATCTATATATATCGCTATGTACAAAGTAGTATTTATTTATAGATGATGTTTCTATAGCGCCTAAGCCTTATGAAAAAGCACAGTTGAGGCTGATCTCGAAACCTCATTAAGAAAAACTCTGGGCATGATAAATATTTATGACGGCTCTAAAATCAATTTCCATTAATTTGTTGCTCAAAAAATGATAAAGATCTTACGGATATGTGAACACTTATTTTCAAAGAGAAATGGATGGTCTAAAATATACACTATTTTTAGTGTACGAAATCTTATTTTCACAACCATAATGGTCAAGGTCAAGATGATTGATTTGAAGTTTTTCCAACACCAAAACTGCTATTTTTCGTGAGTTTTCAGGTGAAATTTAACTTGTTGTGATCGGGCTAAGCCGTATCAAAACATTTTACTTTATGTTTCCTTTGAAATCTCAAGTAAAACCGTATTTACTTCTTCAAACAAACCCTCACCCCGTATGTCTTTTCAAAGTAATTCTAACCAAAATACCCCTCTAAAATTTCCTCCCTCTTGAAATGCACAAATATTTATGCATTCACCAATGAGTACATATACCATACTCCGACAGGAGTATGGATCTACCCCCTCATATAAAAAACTTATTTAGGAGGATTTGTTTTAATCTAAAATTTTGGGTACCACATAAAAATTATTAGATGATTATTTTTAAATGAGAAAATCTGAATTATGAATTTACACTTAGATCTAGCCTTTCAAAAATTTGATGGTTTCTATTCAATCTTGAGGCATTAGTTTTTTTCTAGTACACATAGAGTTTATTTTGAAAAAAAAATTATGTCGAAATTATTTTATGGGTTGTGGAGAATACTTCCCCAAAATTTGAGATCTAAAAATGGAAAATTTTTATAGAACGGTGAGGCCCTAAACAATCAAATTATGGCGAACCTCAAAAATTCACTAGAAGAGTTTGTTTTCATTCTGAAAAATGGTCAATTCAATCTTCTCGACCCCAAGATGTATTGACATGAGAAATAATAGATTTCAAGTCTTGAACAGTTCATCTTGTAATTATCTAGACCGTCAATTTTTTCATATTTTCAAGTGTTTCATGGATATGCTCGATCTAGACTATTTTTTAATATTTAAATTTTATAATTAGTGATGAAAACCATCCTATAGATTTATGATACTGAAACAACATATTTCAGCACTATTTGTAGGTGTGTCTCCCTTTGATTGTTTAAGGCTTCAACCTTATACAAACCAAACCCCTAAAAAATATCCCTAGCATGTGTTTTGCCCAAGGGAGTAAATGGATAATCTTACTCCCGAGAGAGTAGGAAATCTTACCGCACCAAAAGAACGTGATTTTCGGCCTCAATCTTCTCAAAAGTTACCAGAAAAGTCTTTTGTGGACCTCATTTGCTTTTCTCTGCATATTCATGTACGATGATCCTTTCCAAATATTGGGTGTAATCTTGACTGAAAGTTCATTGTTTGGCTAGATTCTTCAAACGAAACCTTGTAGAATAACAATAATAACAACAACAATAATAATAATAAAAGGCTGTTTTAGAAAACTTCGAATTGATCATCTAGATCACATTTATGGATACGGAAGAAGCATTTGTTTTTTTTGTTCTTCGAAAAATCATCAAATTGATTATCTAGATGATATGTATGGATATGGAATAAAAGTTGCATCTTCTAATGAAGATCTATTTTCAAAAATGTCAAGTGTTCATATATTTGCTAGATCTGCACCATTTTTGGTGTTTTGAATTTTATAATTAGTACTAAAAATAGAATTTGGAGGTTGTTATAGACATTTTTGGCCCAAAACTACATCATCCAACAAGGTTGTTGCTTTGATTGCTTAAGGTTGATGCCTCGTGTAAAAGTAACCTGCTCCCTAGAAAGCGATCGAGGGGTTGCTTTCCTCTACAAATTCTAATTTAAGAAACTTCTCAATTGAATACTGATTATTATTATTATTTGTAAATGATAAGTAGATTTTACTAAGAGAATGAAAAGGTACTACAGAAATTGCAACAAAGAAAGAAAAAAAAAAGAACTCCCTTGGGAAAAGAGGAAATAAGTGGCAGAGTAGATGATATAGGTGAGATGAAAGGAGACGAAAGGGATCAAGGGCACAAAGGTCTAGAGCAATGTGGCCTCTTTGGCTAAATAGTCTACTTCTCCATTCCGCTCCTTCTGTATGTGCCTATATCCCCTTCTCTCCCCTACAAGGCTTGTGTAGTTGCATCCATGATTGAGATCTAATATCGCGACATATGTTCAGGGTTTATGCATCATGCACTGACATTCACAGAGTCATCGTCTATAATCAAGTGAGAATGAATAACGTGCCGCTTGAAACTCTAACTTTTAAAGCCCATAACTCTGCTTCACTAATCCCACAAAAGTGCATATGGCTATGGTAGGTCTATAAGATGGCACCGTAATAGACTGCCATAGCCCGCTACTTGCTCTTGAAGTCTAACACTGCCATCAAAGTTTAGTTTGACCCAACTTAGTGGTGGCGGTTTACAAAGATTTGATCGAGTAAGCTGTCTACATTTGAAAAAAAGGAGCGCCTTAAAGTGGGTAAATAGATTTTCTCTAAGGATAGACTGATAATGAGGTAAAGCTTGTGCTCAAATTGTGGAAAACATTTTAATGGCTTGGGAGATCGGATCAATGTCTTTCCTTTTTCCCTCAAAGGATCTAAGGTTTCTTTCTTTCCAAATGTTCCAAAGGACAACCACTAGTAGAATCATTAGTCCAGTAGCCATGAAATAAGGGGTCGAAATTCGATCTAGCATTTCATCTACATAGTTGTGTCGGACCCATATCCAGCCATATAGACCATTGACCCATCCCCACAAAGCTGAGACAAACGGGCAATGAACAAAGATATGATCAATTGTCTCCTCATCATTTTTACAGAATTAGCAAACGAAAGTTAAAATCATGCCTCTTTTACGAAGTATTTATGGTTAGGGTCTTCGTGGTCTAAGCAGCCACATAAAGGCTCTCACTCTGTGTGGGACCTTGCAATTCCCTAGTTTATAAACCCTATTGTTGTTTTTAATATAGCGGCCTCAGTAGGTATTATCATAGAAGGAGTTCACCCTGAAAATGCCACTGGGTTCCAAAGTCCAACCTAGTTTATCCATCCTCCTCAGGCAATAGTAAAAGTCATAGAGAGAACACATTAGGGAAAGAAATTGTTGCTCCACTCTATATCTAACCCTTCTCACATCAAGTGTAATATCCCATATAACTCCAAATCCTCAATTGGAAACCATCGCCTACACCTTAGCGTTTTTCTATTTGGACCTCTTGTAAATCTCTAGATGCATGTCTTAAGGGGGTATTGACCAAGACACTTACTATTCCAAAAACCCGTTCTTTCCCCACTGCCGACCACCATTCTGGTATAAGCAAAGAAAAAGTGCCTAACTGATAAGATGCCTTTCCATACCAAGGAGTCTGAGTCCATTTTGGGCTTTGGCGAGCAACGAATCCATCAGGATCTTGACCATATTTCTCGAGTATCAATATTTCCCAAAGTTGACCATGTTGTCTAGATAGCCTCCACCACCACTTTGTCAGAAGTGCTTCATTTACTACTTTTAACCTCTTGATACCCATTCCACCTTCTTTCTTCAGCAAATAGATAGAGGTCCATTTAAGTAGATGGATCTTCTTTTTAAGATGGCTACCACTCCGCAAAAAATTCCTCATTAGGTGCCCTAAAAAGTACAAGGTAATAAATTGGTAGATTTGCTAAGGTGGCTTTAATGTAATACAATCCCCCAAAGAAAGATACTTGGATTTCCATCCATCCAATTTGCACTGGAATCTTTGAATGAGTGGATCCCAATGTGAACGAGACAACCTAGAGATAGCAATCAATAAACCAAGATATTTTGTAGGGAAAGTATCGATGGCACATTCCATCCATGCAACCCAATTATTTACCTCAGTATCTATGTAGTTTATCCCCAAAAGCCTGGTCTTGTTCATATTAATTTTGGCCCTAGAAATCAATTCATAGCATTTCAGAACAAGCCAAGAATTACGAATTTTGACATTTGTAGCCTCCAGCAGCATGAGTGTGTCATCCCCATATTGTAAATGCAAAATTAATAGCCCACCTAGCCATGCTGGTAGGCCTCTTATCATTTCTCCCTCCATCATCTTCTTAAAGAAGTTTGCCACCAGAGTAAAAAGGAAAGAGGATAGGGGGTCGCCTTGTTTAATACCCTGGGAAGCTTTGAAGTAGCCGCAAGCTTTGCCATTAATGAGAATTGAGAAATGGCTTGAAAACAAACAATCCCTTATCGACATTTTCCATTTGTTGCCAAGACCCATGAGGTGCATGGTCTTATCTAGGTAGTCCCACTCAACTCGATCATATGCCTTCTTGAGGTCTAGTTCTAGAAGGACCACTTTGAGCCCCATGTGTGCTGTGGTATGGATGATTTCTTGTGCTAGCAACACTCCATCCATTATTTGTCTATCTTCTTTGAAGGCCGTCCATAGGCCCTCTACTACCTGGTGAAGGACTTCCTTCAACCAATTCACCAAAATCTTAGCCAAAATCTTGTACACCGCAGATAGAAATCTGATAGGTCTAGTATCTTGCAAAGACTCCAATTGTCTGTTTTGGAGAAAGGATAATGAATGTGTAGTTTATAGCTTTATTAATGAGTCCATAATTATAAAACTAATTAAAGCATTGTATATGATCGTACTGTGTACTAAACTTGATGCTTTCAAGAAGGGTTGTGTATGATGAGAGCTCAACGTCTATAAGCTCTCTGGCACCACAAGCTGCTAAGGGAAACGTCGAACTTTGAGCTTTTGAAGGTAGCTGGAATTTGATAGAAACTGTTACGACATTTGTGTTTATCTACCAAAGAAATGTTGAGCCCATTTTTAATCACTATCATGGCCGGAATCTTGATAGGAATTTGGAAGGAGTTTCAGAGAACTAGAGGAGTTAGGGTTTGATCGTCGTATCAAAATTGGATGGAAAATATTTCAGAGTTAAACATTTGATGGTAGGAATCGTCATCATCTTTGATGTTAGGAATCATCATCATCAGAATCTTTTCCCAATTATTTCGGGTTGGTTACATGAATTCTAGTACGACATCCTGCTCTATCAAGGCTCACATCCTCAGTGAAGCTATAAGCCCCAGTATCTTTTTTGTATCTTTTCTCACTATTTCTAACCATGTCCTTTTGGACCTATCCCTTGTTCTTTTTAAGCCTTCTACTTGAACCAACTAATTTGATGGAAGAAATGTCATCAAGAAATTGTAAGGAGAATGGAGACAACACTAATTTACAATTTTTCTTGCCTGAATTTTAGCTGGAATTTCGTGCTTTTTGAGAAATGGAAAAATATTGAAGGGTATTTTTGTTCAAAATATTTTGAAAAAGCATGCGTGGGGATAGTTGAAAAATAAAATGATACCATTTTACTTGATATTTCTAAATAAAAGTTGGGATTTTTCTAAAAATCAACTTTCATTCATGGGTAGTACGTAATTTTCTACATTTAAGTTGTATAAATTATATTTAGCCTTTGGGTTTAGTATCAGATGATCACACCTGTTTACATTTCTTTATTCTTGAATAGGAACATGGAGCATTTGTTGGGCTTCCTTTTTGAGCCTAACACTTGCTTATTCAAAATCATGGCCTTGTCCAAAGAAGGAGTTTTCTTGTTTGATTCTTCAAGGATAGCATGGAAACCAATCAATCCTCCAGCATCAAAAGATGACTACTGCTACATCACAGAACACATTACTCCATGGGCTCCCTATGTTGCATGTGCTAGAGGCAAGTGTTACTTGAACCCTGTTTATGATGAAAAACACATTGCCTTTGACATGGTGAATGAGGAGTGGGAGAGCATTTTGGATCTGCCAACCGGTGTTTACGGTAGGATCCAAGCATGGGAGGATCGGGTTTACATGATAAACGAGTCGCTGGAATCTGAATATGTTAGTATTTGGGTTTTGGAAGATAATAGGTGGGTTGAGAAAATCAATATCGATGTTCGAAGTATCTCGGGTTGGGGCTTCTTCCCTGTGATTTACCATGGTGACATAGTCTTTCTAGTGGATTCCCCTAAGGTTTTTGTATACAATATTAAGATTGCAGCCATGGTTGATGAGATCAATTTGGAAGAAAGCTTTGGAAGCCCTCACTTCTTCCCTTACAAACTCACACTGTTTCATCCCCCAATCTTTGCTTGATCATGAAGATGCCAATCATCCTATCTAGATTTCTATCTTTCTAGACTGCAGTTTGAACACAACTTATTTGTGTGCTAGTCGTGAGTTAGTAGTGATTCTCAATTTCAGTTTAAATTTGGCATACTTGTTCTATTTTGCCCATTAGGTGATAACCATAAGATAGATATGGGCCTCAGTAGAAACAATTTTTATGAATCATCTTGGGCATTGAATCAACAAATTTGAGATAAATGCAAGTGACATTTTGTTTTCTTTTTTAGTTTCTTAGTTATTTTTCCGTGTATGGTAGACTTGGCCAAGTAACTCACGACGTCCTAGTGGCTGGGTGAGTGGGTATCCAAACTAGCCCTGAACCAAACCCTTAAAAAAATTTAGAAACAATGTTTTAAAATCTTAAAACAAAATTGAAAATGGAAACTGCTCACTTGAGTAACTTGGCTTGAGCTAGGGCCGAGTCCTTGGCATGAGCTGAGTTGCAGAGCACTGATTTTTCTCTTATTTGCATTTATGTATGTATATGTTCAGTTCATGGCTACGCCCCAGAGGGATCATTCTTATTTTTTCATGTTAGTTTTCCTATTTAAAGAAGCAAAACAATTCCACATCAAAGATTTAGGCTTGAACAAGTACATATAAAAGCAATTGAGACATCAATTGGAGCACGCGCGTAAGGTGGGGGGTCATGCACGAGAAAAACGGCCGGATTTAGTTTTATGGATGGATCGGAACGGTATAGCCGATACCCGATCCGGATCACCCAATTTTGGATCCGATCACTGACATTTAAAACATTCGATGAGATCTAATTTTGAAATTCCGAAAGGCAATGGAATAAGTTTTGAAAGGCAATTATTTAAATAAATCTAAAGAAATAATTAATTTAGGGAATTTCCATTTTCCACTAGATTGAAATGGTCTCCCACTCCTCATTCACCATGTAATAAAGACCTCATAAAATTGATTTAATAGGATATTTGGCGAATTAACTACGCAATTCTCTCCCTTCAAAAACTTTTTATATATATGGGCAATTAACGCATATGGCTCCACGTTATAAATTAATATATAACTAAAAAAATGCTATATAATGTATTTAAAAGTACTCTACAATATATATATATATATATATATATATATATATATATATATATATGGGTGTGGTTTCCATACAGTTACAACCGTAAACATTCCCACTACAGTGCACGTTCAAATTTTATCATAATATATAATTTTGATGTAAAATGTTCTTGAGATTATCTCAAAATCTATTTTTATATCTAATTATAAAATTTTAAATTTAAAAAATAGTTAAAATCAAGTAAATCTATAAACATATTAAAATTTTGAAAATGGACGGTGAAGATCATATGTTGTAAGGTGCACTATTTTTGAGACTAAAAATCTTTTTAATTTTCATAGTCATACATCTCTATGTCGAGATGGTCAATCACAAGGTTTTTCAACATTAAAACAACATTTTCCGATGGATTTTTGAGGCACATCCGTAGTTCTACATTATAAGGTTGCAACTAGTGTTTTAAAAAGCGCCAAGTTGAACCGGACTCGCCCAGTTCTACTCGGGAATCGGCACAGGCCGTGCCGATTCCGACATTTTACACGGAATCGCCCGATTCCAAAGAGAACCGGGCGATTTTGTACACTGAATCGCCGATTCATTGTACCGACTCGGCGAGTCCCGTGAAGAACACGGGCTGCACAGTGTTCTTCACGGGTTTCTTCAAATTGTCTTTTTTTTATTTTTCTTCTTTTTTTTGCCATGTGATCTCATATTAAGGCTTTATGCAGCTTTTTTCAGCCTTTTCATGCATTAAACGGTGGAAAAATTTCATGTTTTTGGATCATGAAAGTTGCGGGTTTAAGGGTTTCCGCTTTTTCTTTTGTTTCATGCCAAATAGGGCATGAATATATGAAAAGTTTGAGGCATATTGATCGTAAATGTGTTCATTAGAAATTTTTGTTACGAATTTGTGATTATCTTTGAAAAAAACAGATTAATTTGACGATTGAAGCCACGGGTTCACGAAACCAAGTAAGAACTCTGCGTTTTTTTTTTTTTTTGGCCATTTGATCAATTTCAGTCCATATTTTGAAAATAATCGGTTAAATTTGTAGGGTTTTAAATCTTTATCCTGTCTTTTATCATTTGCCGTATTCAATTTTATTTAATTTACTCAATTACAACATGAGTTTTTAGAAGAACACAGTGATGTCTGTGAAGAAAAAAATTCTGCTGTTTTTTTTTTTTCTGCCTTTCAATCTATTGTTCACGATATAATACGAATAATGTGTTATATTTCTAGGGTTTTGAATTTTTTTAGTCTTGTTTATAATCAGATGTATTCAATTTGATCTGATTTATTCAATTTGAGCTTCATTTTATGATTCAATGACTGTTGTCTGTGAAGAACTGCTTTTTTTTTTTTTTTTTTTGCTCAATTTAATAGATTTGATTTGATTTATTGATGATAATATGTTCATAATTTAGGGTTTTGATTCCTTATAGTGTTGTTTATCAAAACATGTACTCAATTGAATGTAATTTATTCGTTTGGAGGTGGATTTTTGAGTTGAAATGGCTGATGTAAGGTGGCTCTGAAAAGAACAATTTTTTTTTTTTGGTAATCCATGATCGAATTTTTTGAAAATTTGTGATTTTTCGAAAAGGTGTGAAAATCGTGACAAGGTTTTGATTATCATGAGGTGTTAAACCATATTTTGAATTTTTATTGTTTGAGTTTGTTGTATTTTTTTTTTTTATCCATGATCGAATTTTTTGAAAAATGATGATTTTCCTAAAAGATATGAAAATCGTGACTAGGTTTTGATTATCAGGAGGTATTAAACCATATTTTTAATTTTTATTGTTAACTTTTTTGTTGAAAAAATTGTATGTTGATAGATTATTAATGCAAAAAAATGCATGTTATTATATTTTTAATACAAAACTATATTTTTTTAATTTTTTGTTAATGCATTTTTGAGTTGGAATGACAGATGGTAGGTGGCTTTGTGAAGAATTATTTTTATTTGTTTTTTTTTCTAATACATGATCGATTGTTTTCGAAAAATAGTGATTTTCCGAAAAGATGTGAAAATAGTGACTAATTATTGATTATCATGAGGTATTAAACCATATTTTTAATTTTTATTGTTAAATTTTTTGTTGAAAAAATTGTATGTTGATAGATTATTTATGCAAAAAAATGCATGTTATTATATTTTTAATACAAAACTGTATTTTTTCAATTTGTTGTTGATGCATATTTGAGTTGGAATGACTAATGTTAGGTGGCTTTGTGAAGAATTGTTTTTATTTGTTTTTTTTTTAATACATGATCGATTTTTTTTGAAAAATCGTAATTTTCCGAAAAGATGTGAAAATAGTGACCAGGTTTTGATTATCATGAGGTATTAAACCATATTTTTAATTTTTATTGTTAAAGTTTTTGTTGAAAAAATTGCATGTTGAAAGAATATTTATGCAAAAACATACATGTTATTATATTTCTTATGCAAAACTGTATTCTATTTTTAATGTAGTTTTGCATTAAAAATGTATTTTCAATTTTTAAAATTTTGAACGCCAAAAATACATGTTGTTAAATTGTATTATCGTGAGGAGTTAAAGTGAATATCATTGTAAAAAAATCATGGCATGTATGACAATTATATTATCTTGCATTTTTTCAATTTTATTATTAAATTTTTAATGCAAAAAATGTATGTTCTTGATAATTGAGTTGTAGCCATGTTTGGAGCTTGCATTTTGTATTATATTATCTTGTATGTTTGTAATTGATACGTACGAAAATATTATGTCAATAGAAGTAGTTTGCAATAACAAATAACAACAAATATAACTACAAGAACTACCCTAACATATTATCACTACACATGGTAATTATTTTTCTTGTTGAACTGTCAGGTTAATTTTTAACTTTTTACAAATTAAAACAGTTGAATCATGCCAAGATTTGTAGAAGACCCTGCATGGCAACATGGGGTCAGGCTTGATCCCAACAAAAAAGACAAAAATATTTGTAATTACTGCCAAAGAGTGATAAGTAGTGGGGTACATAGGTTCAAGCAACACTTGGCAGGGATTAAGGAAGATGTTTCTGCATGCAGTAGTATCCCTAGTAATGTACAAAAACAGATGGCGGTATTTCTTATGGCTAACAAAGGTAAAAAAATTGCCAAACATAGGATGAATGATGAGATAGCTAGTTTATATACGCCATCAAGCAGGAATGATCCATAAGAGCAATATAATAATGACCTAGAAGAGCAATATAATAATGACTTGGACATGGCCACAAGAATGGGTTTACATGAACAATATCAAAGGGAACGTGGGTTTAGAATGTCTGGTGGTTATGACATAGACATGCATGGTGGGTCTAGCTCAGACATGCATGGTGGGTCTAGCTCATACATGTATGGCGGGCTCAGCTTAGACATGCATAGCGGGCCCAGGTTTAGCATATATGGCGAGCCCAACTCAAATATGTAAGGAGGGGTTGGTGACAGTATGTATCAACAAGAATCAAACGTTGAAGAAATAGTTCCTAGCTTATTTAGGAGTGCTAGTATTGCAGGTCATGGTTGTATAGACCCATTTCTCTCAAAGCCTAAGTCACAATAGATGACCCTAAAAGGCATGATTAAAGGTACAAGAAACTTGTTGGGGAGATATGTTGGTAAATGGTTTTACGATAAAGGGATTCCCTTTGATGCAGCTAATTGCTCATATTTTCCACCTATGGTCAGTGCAATCCAGAGAGCCGAGCCCGAGGTAAAACCCCCTACGACATATGAGCTCAGTGGGCCAATATTAGATGAAGAGGTGGAGGAACTTACAAAGTTGATTGAAGAATACAAACAGAGTTGGTCAAGGACAGGCATTACTCTCATGAGTGATGGTTGGTTGAATAAAGTTAGCAAAAAGGAGTTTTTAAACTTCTTGGCCTATTCCTCAA